TCACCTAAAGTACGAGGAACTATGTTAAAGCACACACATACGCACATACGTACACGCATACACACGCGCTCCACATGAAAGCCTTAATAATTCTATACTATTGTGAAAGTAGCCTTATGTCAACTGGAAATTCGGTGTGAACGGTAGCTTCACGTACAAAGTGTATTTGATTGTGTTGTGTATTCGTAAATTACCAACACCATCCAGAGTACAAATAGGTAAAGAAGGCAAAGCAGTCAGCGCCATCTGTTGTGTAAAAATTGCGATGGACGTGCGAAGACGACGACGACGACGACGACGACGACGGAACTGAAATAAAATCATCTCGCTCGCCATTTCAATACGCCCTGATCTCGTACACTAATCGTATTGAACTTGGTGGCAATCGCTTCAGAACCTTCAATTCCTATAGTGAATGTATCAATAACTTTTCCTCATATATAACGGTTTATAAGATATTTCGTTCCAAACACAGGTATAAGGAGTTGACTCGAGTAAAGAGTCTCGGCGCGCTGCGCCCTGTACAGCCGGTTGCCTGTACTTGGCGCGAGACTCGACCGAGTCTCTTGATACTCGTTGCGCGAGGCTTTTCAATTAATATACGAACAGTCAACCATTTATATTCGTTATTGACCATTGAGAGGCCCTACCGTTTACAGTACTAATTGTAACAGAGATCCACGAACAAAGAATACTTATTGCAAAATTGTTCTGAATCCACCGAGAGTTTATGTTGCTTGGACCATGCGCATTAGCAGTCAGGATATCCTATCTCTCTTTTTCCTCCTGACATAGACTAATTTACCAGTTAATAGTAAGAATCGTGATCGACGCTGATAAGAGTCACTATAAGAACTTCCAGGGAGCCGCGAAGCTCAGGAACGTCGACGGTGGGTAAGGAAGGAAATCTGACGACACTTATTATCGACGAGAATGTCAGCCGTCTCCAAGGAATTTGGAGGGCTCGAATGCGTTACTTGCTATTATTAATTGGTCAGATTTTCTGGTAACAGTAAGTTTTGATGATTTCAGTAACTTTACTGACGATCTGAAAGTGCTTCTGTCGGATTTTGGGACAAGACAAGGGAAATTCGGAAAGTGTAAAAATCAATTTTCGTTCATTAAAATTAATAACAAGGACACATATTGTTAAAAGACTCATGAAATATTACTTATCTATAAGATTGCATAGATCGAAATGTAAAGATTTGGAATTCGTAAAGTTTATCAAAGTTTTAAGATCAGAATGTCTGCCCATTTTCTGAAAAATATGGTACATGGGGAATCTGGGCATCGTATGACATTTTCGGAACGAAGATGGTTGGTCAACCACCGCCAAACTATTTTCCGATTCCGCTGTTCTTGTTCTGTCTTCTATACATGGGACAGTACCCTTAGCCATGTTCAGGGAATTGCACAGCTACGATTCGTTATTCTTGCTTTCATTAATTAGTCAGATTCTCCTGTAACAGTAAGACTCGATGACTTCAGTAAGTTTAGTAACGATCTGAAATTGGTTGTGTCGGCCGTTAATAATGATCTTAAAAATGATGATGTTTCCGCCACCGTGTACGGGTTTGCGTCTGACCGAACACTTACCTCAAAACAATTGCCAATCGTGATTTCGGCATAGAACTGGTGCACGAAGGCTAAGGCCGCCAGTATCGGAAATCTGTCAAAAAATGGTAAAACATCGAATGCAAATACTCCCTCATTATATATGCTATCCATACGAATTTTTTGTATCTCTGTTATTATTTCTTGCACTAAAACTTTTACATTAAACTTTTTCCGATATCGTTTCAAATGGCAAACATAATTTTTATTATTTGCGAACGAAAGTTAAACGAACAATAATAATATGGCCATTCGATAGGCAATCAAAAAATTTTCAATAGTTGTCACATCTGATTTTCAAAATTGTCCACCGTTTCACCGCAAATCCCAAACATGCCACTTAGCCGATACACTCTGTATATACGCTGCCGTTGAAAGATTTCCGGACAAGGGATTAAGTTAGGAAAAAGTTGAAGTAAAACGTCAGTACATAAAGTCCGTTTTAAATCTTGAATGATTCAGCCTTTGAGCCCTTTGAAGTCTCTTCTGCCTATTTCCACGCCGCCAAACTGATTTCTTAGTAGCAACTCCGTCTCAAAGGCCAATTCTTTGCAAGCGATTCTGACTGTGACTAGTGATTCTTTTGTTTTCATGAGTTTCGTGAAACCGCGTTTGGATTTCCGATGCAGTAAGCTTCCCATGCACTTTGGACCCTATTACCAACGATTGGTCCTCTGTTTTGGAAATGACTGGAGGCCTCCTACTTCGCGCGTTGTCATTAGAATTTGTTCTCCAGAAGAGAGTGATACCATCTCTCAAAGCAGACCGCGATATTTTCACAATTTTGGCAACACAACGTAGACGGGTGCAAGTGGATATACGCTTTCCTACAGATAAATCGTGAATATGACCTTAAGCGAATGCTACCCAAAGAAGACTGGCGCAAAATGATTTGAGGCGCAGTTGTAGGTCCGGAGCGAAAACTTTCCGACATAAATTTTATGAAAAATTTACTGACCTCTTTCTGTTCCATTAAATGGAAGGTGGTCTGAAGTATAAATATTTTGAACGAGATATATGATGATATGATTACCACTTCCACATGAACCAATAGTACGCGATTGTATTGTACAAATAGTAGTTCGCGATGGCCAAATTTTATTGCTGAACGCAACCAAACGGAAATAACAAGCGGAATGTAAACCAGATAATCACTGGTAGCGGATTTAAAAATTGTCCCACTGTAGGGGACGTGACCTTT